TCAGAGAACGCCATATGGATTGGGATTATACGACCCAGGTCCATTGTCGCAGCGCGTGGCGGCGTTGCAGCAACGTTTCGCCCGCAGCACGCTAATCTACCTAGGCCCGTTAATTTTATTGGGTTGTTTATTGGCCGGGAGAGAACCCGGACGGACGCGCGCTGTGTCGAGGGACCGGCGCACGGCGTGAGAGCCGCGCGCGTTCGCATTTAGTAACTCCATTAACGCGTTAACAATCGGCGACGGGACTGGGCCCGACCGGCGCGGGTTATCGCGTCGGATCGCGCGCTCGTATACCGAGCGATCTCGCGTGTCCCGATAGCGCCGGCAATCACGCTTCGTTCCGTTCGAGCGGTGATACGAAACGAACCGGCACGCTACACGGAGACTCCTCGTTATCGCTTTTCTCTCTCTATCTCTCGTCGTAGTGTGTGTGTGCATGTGTGTTTTTTCTTCTCTCCCTCATTTTTTTTTTTCGCCATTGACGATCTCGCGCGATTGCCCCGATAGTCGAAACCATTTCGTCGTGCGATCAAACCCGATCGTTCCCGCGCTCTGTCAGATACCACGTTGCATACTATGCATGATCTCGCTGATAGCGCGCACCAAGAATATGCTATAACCAGGATAATGTGATATTTCGCTCATATAGTCTCCCGAGAGGATTATGCTTTTTTTCTTCAGTCTGAAGCATAGAAGAATGACTTTCGATCTTCTATCAGCCAGCATTTTGATCAGATATTTATTTTTTTTTTTATCAACAATGTATTGCAAAGTTTTTACTGGTAATTTTTATTTCCATCAGATATTAATTAAAATAAAGCTACTTGCGCAATAAATAAAAACAAATGCATGAATATAATATTTAATTTTTAATATTTAAAATAACTGCATGAAGCTCCAATATTGAACATGTAATATTTTTCTGATGAATTGCTGCAATCTAGAGTTGTGGTCGGTAGAATAATCGGAACAATAATTGCCATCTCGAGTTAGATTTATTAAAACATGACACAAATGTATCTAATCGTTTCATCACATCGTCAATATAAGCAAATTCTGTAACAATCTGTTACAGTTATTGCATTTAATATAACATTTATCTGACATATATACACATACACACATGTTTCATGAAACAGCTTATCATTATCTATCATCACCTATTTAGAATTAACTATTTATCATTAACTATAAATTAATTCGCTCCGCAAATATTTCGAACCATATCGAAATATGTAATATTATGACAAAGTAGAGCAATGTTCGAAAATAACATTGGTGGTTAAACGCGAAACTTTGGACAGCAAACACCGCAACCATAACGTTCCATACTGTTCGAGTAATGTGAAACTAAAAAGCCAGAACAAAGCCACACCGAAGCCTTTGACGAGATAACCAAGCAAGTTGCGGTCAGTCATTCGTGAAGACGAATCTACTCATTGCATTAATAGAACTTCTTTCAACATTCTTGTTTTTTTTTTTTTCTGCAAGTGGATCTACAAAATTAAAGCTCAATGATCAAACAATACAGCTTTCAAAAAGCAAAAATCGGCTTTATAAAAAGCTAATTAATGGTATATAGACTAAATTATCAATAAACATAATCTTTTACAATTATCGCATAATATTATAACGTAAATTTGATTAATAATCAAATAGCGCGAGATGAGTAAAAATAGGAAAAGAAAAATACATCTTTAAGGAGTTTCCACGTGTATGTAACACACGTTTATACGTAAACCAGCATGTTCTTGCTCGTCTAGTAGTTTTCCAAATATCTTCAAGTTTCGCACGTGTGTACACACTATACACTATGACGTACCGCAACATGCCGACATACTTCTTTCAATTGATATACCGATGGTCCACTGCACGTAAAAAGATAGAAAACGTTGACCTACATACATCATACAGACCGCTGCACTTTACACGAGCAATAGAATCGACCTCGACAGTTGTCCTGTCGAAATTTCGACGCGGTAAACTTTCAACGCCCGGTATGTCTCTCGTCCAGAACTCTCTCATCGAGTCTCAAGAGCCGTCGGAACAAACTCTCCTCCTCCTCGAATCAATACCGGATAAGACCATTTTCGGTTTAGACCAAAAGAGAGAGGAAAAAAAGCACAGATCACTTCCAGTGCACGGTTCCAAGTTTAATCTTGCCGGCGAAAAAAGAACGTACAAAGAAAGTACTTAAATACAGGCGACGGATCTTCGAAAATCCAGAAATATCCGACACCGAGGTGCACGGCATAAACAGATGCTTCACTCGAGAATCTGAATTCTAAAATGCCTCGAAATAGTCTCCACACAACTGACGATAGAATTTCAGTGTACATTTATGTAAAAAAATTGCACCAAGATAGCGTTAGATCTTAAGCTGCTGTGTGTCATTCGTTCAACTGCATTTCGCAGGGTTTTCAAAGTGATGCTGAAATATCCAAGTTCATCTGGCTTTTATTACAGATTCTACAAGAAGAAAAGCAAATCCATAATAATTAGTCTACCGGGAAATTTCACATCAATCTAAAGTTTGAAGCTGATCGAAGTACCCCGAGTGGTTTGATGCTTTCGAACGAACCGATCTCTTCCGAATGCTTGGAAACATTGAAGCACTTGATTCTAGCCGAGAGCTGGCAATCGTACCGCGGCAAAGTTTTGCTACTTGAAATTTCCGAGCATCTTGTTCGGCTTTCCAGCATTCGCGAAAAGTCTACAAATTAATATAATTATGTAAATATAATGCTGTACCGGAAATTAGCATATTTACGTCAGTATTATTCGTAATGCCGTAAATGCGACGTTAAATTCGACCTTACAAATTGCTTGTTATTTGTGTTATTTAAAATAAAAAAATACATATCTGGGCATGCGAATTGCATATAATATTAAATATTATAGTAGACAAACAATCAGGTCAACTCATTTTTTTCTATTTATGTACACGAAATAATAAATGCAGCAAAAATAATATTATGCTGTGAAATATTTAATGTGCTATTTAAAACATTTCAAACTCGATTTGTTGCATCTCATTTGTTGAGATATTTTTCAAATATTTTTAAACGCTATATTTATATTCAAAATAATTCTGCTATTAATTTTTGTCATGTGATTCTAAAAATAAATTTTTGCCGCGACAGAAATTAGGAGTTGAAAAATGCTAGTTTCATTTTTTATGAGATATATACGATAAATTGTGAAAAAAACGTTGAACATGATAACATGAATAAAATAAAAAAATGTTTTACTCGTACATTTGCTTATCTATTTATTGTCAAGATAAAAATGTACCAATTTGTCTCATTGCATCTAATTCAGATGTCGCGCCAATTTGTATGCTTTATACACCAGATACCGTGATTGGTTACCACATTTATATCTTATGTTTTATTCATTCTGTTTCTACAATGATCTTAAAGCATCACGGAAGGAAACAGGAAGCTTGTTTGAGAAGAACGGGAGCGGGGAACTGCCGCATTCCCCTGGAGATCGGAATCATATTTCCGGCTCTCGTAATTTTACTATTTATGCAATATCGTGCTTAGTCCCCTCGGATTGCAAGATGGCTCGTTGCGTTTGAGCAGGGGTGAAGTTACTAAATATGAGATCTCTGCAGATTTCACTTCCTAAACTCTCTTGTTTGGCAAACAATAATTGTAAACAATTGTGGTGGCAAAAGATACAGAAAAATGATTTTTACACTCGTATTTTAAGAGTATTTATTTTTACAAAATTATACGTGCTACAAAAATAGTTGATTTCTATCACATTTCAATATTCAATATTCATCTCAATTAGATTGTGGACAATCAACATCTATCATTCTCTTTCATTTGTGTACTTTGCTTTCATAGACGAAAGTTTTGAATAGTTTTACATTGATGATAAAGTTCTCTGACTGACGATTAAACTTCTCTATCTTTAATTGGTCTATATAGAAATATTTGAGACGCAATAAGCAGAATAGAAGCAAGCGTTAGCTAAAGGCAATAAATTTTTATCTTTGTTTAATATTACATTAAAAATGAAGTATTTCATAAAAGATAAAATTAGGTTAAATCTTATTTACTCGACATAATTGCATTTTTATAATAATATAATGTTTAATTAAAACAAATTTTAAATTCAAACTGTTGCGTATATATACAGCCGATATAACTTCGGATTTTGTAATTTTCGAAATTTTTCACAGTTGCTGCACAAAGTTAAATACATTTCCATTTCGTGGTATAACACGACCGTTCATCTTTTTCTCTTTATTTGCACAAAAAGCGGCAATATATCCAGCAAAATTATTTTAACTCGACATTTCTATATTGAATCTCTTTCCCGTTTTACACGATATATAGATTGCTGTCATTTATGTAAGAGCAATGTTTTATTTCATTATTATTTTATTACGACTTTTTTACATCTGCAAAAATAATTATTTCGTACGCCCGTCAAAAGCCATTAAAAATACCTGACACATTATTTCCGAATAAAATCTAATTGCTTATGCTAATCCAATTTACATGAATCTAAATGTATGTTGGCAGCTTTGCGTTAGTTTAGTATTTGTTTCAATTAAAGTTCTACATATGTCTGTCATATTCTGTTATGACGGAATATGTCTGTCAGATGAAATTGATTGTTCATTTGACACTTTAATTTGCTGCATCAAACTATTTTCCACATTATGACGCGAGCTTCATTGATACATCCAGAATGTTAAAATGTAACATTTTTATGTGTGTGCTTTAGAAATCTTCTATATTATAACATTCGATAGACCTAGAATTTTTAAATTTATATTTTTTTTACTGCAATGGATTGAAAATTTTAATTAAATAAATATTCATTCTGAGGCATAAAAATAAATAAAATGTATATTGTATTGTATGTGAAAATGTAGCGCGCGCATTGTCACGCTCTAGTTATTATAAAAAAATAATATAAAAATAAAATAATATATTGTGTATCGCTAACCGTTGATCAATCATTTTATGTTTCAGATATCGTGGATTCGGCGACGTGACTTTCACGTCTTAACAAGCTCTATGTTCACATACACGAACGACGAGCGATTTCAAGTGCTGCATCCCGAGGGCTCTGACGATTGGACCCTTCAAATAAAATACGTCCAAGAGAGAGACAACGGGACGTACGAGTGTCAGGTAATGTGATTCACCGCATGAACAACGGGTTAATTAATTCAATGCAGTTTAACGAGTATCGTCCAACTTTCGCCCGCATAGAAACCACTTTTTGATTGCTTGCTTTGCATTTATTTTTTTATCTTCGTCGGATGAAACTGACAAATCTCAGTCTGCATTTCCGCATACATTTCTTTTTACGGCTTATTATTATCGATAACATTCTGCATTGATCGCAACGCAACAGAGACATGTCTTTCTATTATAACATGCAAATTAATATCTTTACATCGAATATACATTTCAATAATGCGCTTTATGAAAGTTTGAACGCAGATGAGTGGTGATTTGTACCGGATACGTATAGCGAGAGTAATAAATCCTTCTATTAATAAATCCAAGCATTGCTGATTATGCACGTCACAATGTATGCGTTATCATTTTGGCATTAAACGCATACTCCATTCCTAATACTATGCCGCATCTGGTATTATTTTTGATACTGTACGATATTATAATCGACATTCAAAATTATTAACAAAACTATTAAAAGGATAATGTTAATTATCCTATTATACGATTTCATTCTTGCGCGTAAAAAAAATATACAATACAAAAATCGAAAATATTGAGAAGTGGTATCGCAAAGATGCTATACAAGTGCGCCGACATGAGAATAAAAGAATTTTTATATTTGATTAATGTAAGGGTGGAGAATTTCTTCGTCACATTATTCGAAAGAATAATTAAAATGTGACGACGAGTGCACTAATACGTAAATCTATACGACATGAGCAGTACGGATAAGCTGTTCTTGTTGCATATTCATGCATTTTTCCGGCTAATGGAACGGCAAACACAAGCCCGTGGCTAGTATATGTGAGTGCGAAAGAAATCAGACAGCGTGAATAACGAGACACGATGCCTGGCCGCGCACGGCGCTGAGTAAATACGAGAATCTACGGTAGTTTCTGACCTTTCCGAAGTTTTGCCGGAAGCTTACATTCGAGGTGGTGAAGGTGGCTTCTTATGTTAATTTCGGGTGCGAATCGCCGCAAAACTTTTTCGCAGTGAACTTGGAGTATTTTCGCTACTGAGCGTTGCTCACTTTCCCAATTTCGCTTCGAGGAACATCTTCGGTCCATTATCGTAGCCAGAGCGAAAGCTTTGTGAAAGTTTCATTATAGGAAAATATAGCGACTGTGTGTAAGAGAGGACAGTACCTTTTATACGCATTGCGAAAATAAAGACCATCAGGGAAATAAATTACGAAATCAATTATTGAACTTTTGTGATTTCTCATTCATAAAATTTGTTCAGATCTGTAAGAGAGAATAAAATCTTGCAATAATAAATACATAAAAGTGTGCGTTTAATATATTAGAAAAACGGAATAATACTGTCGTAAAATCATTAACGACAAAATTCGTTTATTATGAAATAACGAATACGTTATAATTAAACGAGATACAATAATGGAAATTAACAAGTATTTCAATGTATTGTATTATATAACGCAATATTAAAAGCCGATTACAGCATTGAAATCTAGATTGTACATTCGTAATTTAATAATTATATTGAAACAAATGAACGTAGGAAAATAAAACAATGCTAGTTACTTACGAGATAATTCGTCAATAATGAATTAAAATTAGATAATTTAGATAGCTAAATATGAAACTTGTATTTTTATCAAAAAAAATTTTCTTTTAATTTTGCTCTACAGATTATTTTAATATGCCTCTTTCACTTTACGGTCATTAATTTCGCTATTTATTTCAGGATGGTCAATTTTATACTAACATTTATCTTACATTATGACATATGATTTCAAATCAAATGGTGTAGCGAATCAAAGCAATATGCGAGAAATGAATTCCGAGAAAGATCGATAAAGTTTATCAGCTGTTACCGAGTTGATGCATCGCAGCATTCCATCTGTTTGATCGGGGAAGGAGAAAGGAGGATGAATGTGAAGAGGCGACGAGTGCGATTGTATGACCGCGATGCAACTCTTGACACCTCATTATGCAGCGAGGTCACCGAGCATGGAGAGATCACTTTGTCACAAGGTCGATAGCACGTCTTTCCGGCATGTATGTTATAACACGCGAGATGAGTGTCACCTGTGCGATGCTCCGGCTACAGTACACTATTACGGGTTCTAATTAGGAGTCATCGGGGACATGGTTAAAACGATCACGCTCGTCCCGCGATGACGAACCGCGTTGTCAGATAACGGATTATCTGTTAATTCTAACGTACGTCGCGTCCCATGTGCGTGATGTATTAAAAATAGTGTTTTTATCTTTCAACCCCGCATGCTCTTTTCTATTTCAACCTAATATTTTGAAAAATAAAGTGAAAAGTCATGCATTGCATATCAAATGGGCACAACAAGGATAGGTTTTTTTTTTAAAATAAACTCATGATTAAAGACAAGATAATAAAATATTAAACTGAGACGATTCTCTTCATTAGTTTATTTTTGGAAATTTATCGCGGTACAAATAGTATCCAAGAATTTTTATTTTAGTTCGATAAAATCGATTCTTATTAAATATTCAGGCATATCTTTATTCAATAAGGATATCTTTGCATGTTGCTGTCGATTGAATATCCGAAATTAGAACGAGACTTCGCGATAGAAAACATCAAGGATAGGAAAGTCTCTCGCGACTTCCCTTATCTTTGTCGCAACGGACATTTCAGTGCGACGAACACGAAGCGCCGCTATCGCAAACGACAGATATACTGCGGTGACCGCTTTATTGCGAGCAAGACCGCGTGGCGGCCACGATTAAGTGTAATTGAAGATGGAGCGATGGAGAGCTTTTCGAGTAATCGAAACCTCGCTGGAGCAATGTCCGCGCGGTAAAAATGAGAGAACGGATAATGTATATGTGTTTCTATGTGGATGGATGCATTTATGTGCTCGATGTACCGCAACAACAAGTTTCAATTTTACCTTTCGAAACATTTTCTCACTTCATCGTTCGTATATGAGACTTTATGCTACAAGCAAAAAGAAGAAAATGTCTCTGTCTTATAATTAAATAACGATAAAAATTTAGAAGAAGAATAGAAAATATCTCGAAATGCAAAAATTTTATTAGAATTTATTTACTTATTCTTTACGTAAATGAACTGTTCGACAAAACAGTAGTATAAATTACATTTTTAATTATAAAATGTACAAAAAAAAATTGTAAAAATTGTAGTTATAAAAATTTGTTTATCACATCAAAATAATTATGTCGAGAAAAAATGTAATGTATCTAGATATTTTTTAAATTTCTACTCATTTTTATACATTTAATAATATTTTATATTTAAAATGTAATTAAAACATCTGAAAATTATCACTCTCGTAAACTGAAATAGTCTATGTAGCTTTCATGGTTACTTTGCCGCAAGATACAAATTTACTGGGAAGGTGTGCTGAGATTTTTAGCTTCAAAACTTCCGACACTTTTGTATTTAACGATTTAGTAGAATTCTCCTCTTATCGCCGGCTAGAAAAATACGAGATGATTGTGCAACAGCGGAATGTTATCTCCTGGCATCTTCATTGCGATTACGACGACAATACACGCTGGAAATAGCGGTGCGCCATTAAATGCCGGGTTTAATTACGCGTCCGACCCTACGACTGCAAAAAGAAATTAATTAAGGTGAATCTTGAGTTGTTACATAGTACATAAGTCTCAACTTTTTACGCGCCTTTGGAGGAGTAATGGAAAGCTCGTTTCGCGCTTATCGCAAGCTTCGTCTTAGCTGCAGCTGGCTGCGGCTGGGATTGGCTGTACCTGCACCTACACAGAGAAAGTGGGTCGCTTATGGGACACAGCACGAGAAGTCCCTTTGGCGCTGAAGATAAGTACTTTCTCGCCCTGGCTCGTGCCGAAGTGCACGTAGGGCACAGTGATTGTAGGGCTCGTTAAGCTTTCGGGATAAGTTTTCGCCTGGCTCGCCCGCGCTGCGAAACGCTGGGCTAAACCGAGATTCTGATATTCCTTGATGGAGGTCAAATTTGGCAGTTAATCTCGGGCGAAGCCTGGGGATTTACGACCGACGACGATACGCGCCGCGCGCGATATCTTACTTTGATCGGGATTAAAATACGGGCGTCCGCGCGCGACGCTTCGTTAATCCTGAGTCTACATCGACCGCGAATTATGTAATAATTTGGATTTCTACCTGTAGGCTCTTTTCATAAATACTAATTAAACCTTACTTAACGTTAATTATTGTTTATGTGAACCACTTTAGGATGCATTATTATGCTCTAATGATTGCGATCGAAAATATTATTTATACCATTTGGCGAAAGAATCAATTTGGTTGCTGTGATATTTCAAAGTCAAATTAGGCCTGCTTTTTCGAGGCTGAATTAGGCTAATCTATTATCTACGTATTCTTTGTGTCATATTATTTTAATGCGCTAATGGCCGTACTATTTTAATCTACCCGCTTTCAAGGCTGTCATAACGCAACTTCTTATAGCGATGAATAAATCTCTTAGGGGTGGAAGGAGGAGGGGCAAAGACTGCGAAAGTAGCTCAGGATCGTTAAGCTCTAAAAAGGCTCATTAAGCTTTCAATACTCAATTTGCCACTACTCATTCGATGAGACTTGTATCTGATATTCATCCGTAAAAACTAATCCGTTAGTTTCACCTCGATGAACGGAGAATCTAACGCATGGCGTAAACCTGGTTCTTATATTAACCGAAAATTAACGGTCCGACTAACGCGCTGAATTTAATTGAGCTCGAACCACTGTTGCATATTTTCGCAGTAGGAACTTTCGGCGCGTACCGACAACACACGTACGGACAGCCTGCATGGACTTCTACGTGCTGAAAATTTATGATAGAAAGAGTATAGCTGCAGGGCTGTGTCATGTTCAAGCGAGCAAGTGCACGCATAATAATTTTGCTAATAAAGTAGGTGCAGTAGAGAACATAAAGGAGCTCTGTAAGGTTGAAATTGAAGAAGGCAAGGCGATTGGTATTT